TGGTCTCGAACTCCTGAGCTCAAACAATCCGCCCGCCTTGGCCTCCCAGAGAGCTAGGATTACAGGCGTGAGCCACCGCGCCCGGCCAACATATTCTTTTAATTATGAAAAATTCCAACATATATACGAGTAAAGTAATTATGTAATCATGTAATTATGAACCCCCATGCATCCCACCCAGCTTCGACAATCATCAATTTGTGGCCATTTTTTTTCATCTACATCCCCAAACCCCACCTACCACCACCATATTATTTTGTAGCAAATACCAGATGTTGTATCATTTAATCTATAAATACTTCAGTATGTATCTCTAAAATGTAATGACTCCTTTATAAAACATATCCACAGTATCATTATCACCCCTTAAAAATTAAAAGAAGGCAGAGGCGTGGTGGCATGTGCCTGTAGTCCTTGCTACTGGAGAGGCTGAGGTGGGAATGACCACCTGAGCCCAGGGGTTCAAGGCTGCAGTGAGCTACGTTCAGGTCTCTGCACTCTGGCCTGGGTCAGAGAGTGACAGCCTGTCTCTAATGAAAACAAAAAAGTTAAAAATAATTCCTTTAATACAATAACCATCAGTCAGTATTCAAATTTCCCCAGTTGTCTCATAATATTATTTTTACATTTGGTTTATTTGAATCAGTATCCAAATGAAAATTCATGCATTGTATTTGGTCGATATGTCACTTACATCTCTTTGAATTTATCCTTTTACTCTCCTTTTTTATTCCTCTTGTAGTTGATTGGTGGAAGAAACCAGGTAACTGTCCTGCTAAGTTTTGCTTGTTCTGATTAGGAGCTGGCTGCATTCCCATGGTGTCATTTAACAAGTTCCACTGTCCTTTGAATCTCCTATAGATTAATGGTTAGATATAGAGATTTACGTTTACATTCAATTTTTTTGTCAGAACATATCGTAGGTGATGTTTTGTTTTGTTTTGTTTTCTCTTAAGAGCATTTCTTTGGCCAAAGGTAATATTTTTTACTTCCAGTTTTATCATATCAGGAGTCATGTAAGCACTGTCACTCTTTTTGTACTATTAAGATTAATCAGTGGGTTCAACTGTTACTTTTAAGAGAAAATTGGAATAATATTGTTTTCAGTTTTTTTGTGGCTGTCTTTGTGTTTGGTTTGTTTGTTTTACGGTTGCTTTCCTTTTATTGAAGTGATATTGACTATCTATTCATGATAGTGATATAAAGTTTCCTTTTAAAATAAACTTATTTAATTTTAAAAAGTGAATCCATCCAAAGATGTTAAATAAACAGGACAGGTAGATTTGGCTAAAACCACGGATGAACTCTATGAATGGCTGAAGTCTGGAAGATAAGGCTCCAGTCCAGGCCTCTGCTTTCATTGGTGCGGAAGCTGAAGCACAGGGAGAGAAAGTCCCTGTCCCAAGCTTTTGTGCCCACTAAGAGGCAGAGTTAGGGCTAGAGCTTGGTCTTTTGACTTTCGGGCAGATACTAGACAGATAATTTGAAGACTGTTCTACATTCATACATACTTGAAAAAAATATATATATACTACCTCATTTCTTTTCAATATCTGCATAGTTTCTTTGTATAATTATATACTATGACTTATTT